GCCTCTGCAGCGCTACTTCTACCGACCGCTCGGGCAGCCATTTGACGAAATGCGATACAACGAGTACTCCGAAACCTACATCACGTCTTCTGCTTGCCCTGCACAAGCTGTGGCGGTGCGCGATCGCGCTCCTGGGCCTAAGCAACTCTACGTGCATCCGCGACTCAGAGGCGAGCCCCCGCTCTGTTGCTTGGAAATGGAATTCCCGAAGCAAGGCGACGTGTTCTACCTCCGGCACATTCTACTCAACTTCCCCAAAGCATCTTTTGGCGATTGTAGGACGCACGGAGGCAAAACTTACCCCGCGCACGAAGAGACGCTGCGTGCGACGGGTCAGTTCGTCCGCGACGACGAAGCCCACGCCGTCCTCGACGAGCTCATCGCACTTCGTTACACAGCCGCCCAACTCCGATTTGCATTCTTGGTGCTTCTAGAACAGGACGCCGCGCCCGTCTCCTTGCATCGCAAGTGCGAGCGCGCCCCCATGAAAGATTTCCTGCGCCGCGGCATCGGCGAGCGCGCGGCCAGAGCCCACCTCATTGTATTTTTGCGAGCGCCCTGGCTCCAGAATGGCAACGGCGAGGGCGACTGGAAACTCGACGCAGTCGTCTCCGACTGTCCCGCTGACGCACCCGGCGGCCACGCAGCGTGCGCCCCCGATACCGACCCCGCTCCTGCGGAGGACTTGCCCCCTCGCATCCAGCAGTGACCAGACCAGCCCGCCGCGTGCAATCGCATCGTGAACTGCTGTCGCGCGCGCCGCGAAGCTCTCGTGTTCGTAGGAGGACGAGCAGGTACTGGGAAGACATCTCTGGCTACCTGCCTCACAAAAACTTGCGAGGCCGAGGGCCGCCAGGTACTCAACGTGGCTACGACGGGACAGGCAGCCCTTTTGCAGCCCAACGGCGCGACAGCACATTCCGCATTTTCGATGCCCGCGCAGGACGACGCGGAGCTGACGTGCACTTTATCCTTGACTTCTGCCCAAGCCACGACCATATGCCAGGCAGCGCTGATGCAGTGGGGCGAGTTCCCCTCGGCACGAAAAGCTGCGCGGGACGCAGTCCTGGCGCTGCTGGGTGTTCTCGCTGAGCGCTGCCCAGACACTTTCGCGCCGAAAACTTTCGTCGGCCACGGTGGCTCCCACCAAATTCCATCCGTGGTGCCGAAGGACACGCGGCAGACAATCGTCTCCAGCAGCGTCCGTTCATCGGCGTCTTGGCCCCGATTCGCTATCTTCACTCTCGGACAGATACATCGACAAGCAGGAGACGAGCACATCGCCAATTGGCTCGATTCTATTGGCGCCGGGACCGCGACCGCGCAACCCAATCCTGCACGCTTCCCGCATTCTCCGAACCTTCTGACCAACATTGCCCAATATTTACACATACGCTCTTACCTAGTGCTCTCAGAACACTCTCGACGCTGTCTTCGGACCCACGTGGGATCCCCTGCGCTTCCCCTCTCTCGCTCTCTCCAGTATTTTGGATGCTCGCGCGGCCCTGTGAGCCATTGCGAGATGCAACGTGCCGCTTGGGCCAGTCTCGTGCCCCGCGCCACGGAAGCGCCGGGCGCCAGCAAATGAAGCATCTGCCCCGCCACCATCAGGAAAGCTCGACATGTTCAACACCTGACGCAGTTCATTGTTTCGCGTTTGCGATAGGGGGCCTTGCGCCTCGCGGACTCCCCCCCTGGCCCAGCCGAGAGATTCCAGCAAGACAACGCGCAACCTCCTTACATCTACCTTCCCCCAGAAGGTTCGTGGGATCCCCGCGGTAGCCCTGGGCGCGCGCGACTCGACGGCATCTCCGCGGTCGACGCTGAGGACGAGGCTTTGAGGCGCTGCTTCCCGACGCCGAACGACCCCCACCGATGCGCTGACTCGAAGATTCTGTCCGCGCTGAATTCCATGGTCGACGCCCGCAGCGAGCGCATGTTGCAGCTCCTCGCCCGCACCTGCCGCTGCCCTTCTTTTCGCACCCTCAGCGCGGATACGCTGGACATGGACGCAGACGGTGCTGTCGAGCACCACGTCACTGCTGAGTTCCTCAACCTGCAAAGCTCCCCGTGGGGCGCCGCCGCACTCCCTGCATCTGGTAGAAGGCGGCCTGCGCGAGCTAACGAGGAACTTCAGCCCCAGGGACCGCCTTGCGAACAGGGTCCCCGCTATACTGCGGAAGGTGCACGGTCAGCGCGTCCTCATCGAGACCATGGGCGGTCGGGAATCCCCACTCCCTCGCATCACGTTCAGGCGGCAGGTAGCTAACGGCACTTCCACTATGGCCCGCAGACAGCACCCCCTCCGACCAGCCTACGCGTCGACGTACAATTCCGCGCAAGGCCGCACGTTAACGAACGTGGTGTTGGACATCCGCCGCAGCCCTTTTACCCGCGGCGACCTGCGCGCTGCTCTTTCACGGGTGCGACGGCGATGCGACATTCGAGCCCTCGCGTCGCCAGACCACGTCGACGCCGATGGCACCGCCGTTGTCAAGAGCATCGCGCGGCTTGAGTTTCTCCTCCAGATCCCTATGGGGCGCAGCCGAGTGACAGCCCCCCCGCGAAAGCGGCCTGCCGCCTCGCCCTGAATTTCCTAGGGCGCCGCAGCTTGCCCGCGGCCACCGTTTCACTCTCTATTGCAAAAAAAAAAAGAAGCAAAAACAGAACCCGCATCCATCCCACCACTTCGGCATGACATGTCTCCGTATCCCCGTCTTCCTTTGCCCCCTGTCTTTTCTTCCTCTTCGCTTCCTGCGGCCACGCCAGCCCATCGCAAACGAGCTGCCAGGCGAGTTGTATTTACATGGGAGGCCCTGCGCAATCCAAGCATTTCATCACCTGGTCCACGTGTGCCCCGAACGCGCCCATGGTTGACACCGCCCCGTCTGCCCTGGCCACGACGTCGCCAGCCGCCACCGCGACCGTGCACAAGCGCCCTGCGGCGGCCACCCAGGGCGGCACCATCGCGAAGAAGCCCGCCAAGAGGGCGAAAAACTGATGTGCGGTCTGAGGCGGCAGGCCGCTTCCGTGTTCGCCTCCTTCTCTTCGCTCCTCTTTCGCCTCCGTCTCCCTCCGACCGAAACGCGCCCACGTTGACGCCAGCCTCCTGCGCTGCCGCGCCGCGCTCGCAGCCCAGACCCTTCGATGCCTCAGTCTGTGCGCCAAGTCACCCAACATACATTTCAGCAACAGCACCCCGGCACGGCGACATTGCATTGCCCCCAGGGCCGCCCCCGGGGACCGTGTCTCGCACGCCCATTCTAAGGAGACGTACAGACAGAAAGAGAGAGAGAGAGGGAGAGAGAGAGAGAGAGAGAAAGAGGGAGAAGGACGGCAGAGACAAATATACCACAAACCCGTGTTTGTGCGAGCTCACGCAGGGTCGCGCCGCGCCAGTAGGCGCGGCGCGACGTGACAGACCCCCAGGCCATGTCAATTTCTTTCCATGCGCCCTCGTCTTCATCGAATGACATGCTATTCTCCCTTCCGCTGCGCGCTCGCCGCCTGGCCCCCCTCTACGCACAACGCAATGTACCCAGACGTGGAAACGAAGCGCAGCGAGCTTCAAGTCTTGTGTATATATATAGCAGCAATAGTGGATGCTGTGTTGCGCTATGATATGCTATGCTATGCTATGCTCTGCTCTGCTATTCTATGCTGCGCAATGCTATGCTGGGCTAGGCTAAACTAGGCTAGGCTAGGCTAGGCTATGCTATGCTGCGCTATGCTATGCTGCGCTATGCTATGCTATGCTATGCTAAGATTTTGCTTTGCCTTTGCTTTTGCCTTCATGTTTGCCTTTGCTTTTGCTTTTGCTTGGCACCCAAGGAGCGCAACTGGGGGAACCACGCGTTTGCTTTTACCTTTGCTGTTGCTTTTGCTTGGCTCCCAGGGGGCTGGGGGAACCGCCCGGGGCAGTTTGCACTGCCCGCCCCCTTTTAAGCCAAGCGAGTAAGAACCCCTCAAAGCAGAGCCCAGGTAGGGAAAAACTGTAATTCAACGCTGTTTTCTTTTGAATTTTTGTTCCTCTTTGTTGTAGATGCGGAATTCTTTTACATCAGAAATGGTTTTTCTCTCTTTGTGCTCAACTTCTCAACTCACAACTCAATTTGACTTGTACAATTTGTCCTTGGAGACTTCTAGTCTGTAAAACCTGAATCAAAATTGTTTTTGTGCTGTTGTTTAGTAAAGACATCTCATGTAACATACTTATATTTCAGTATACGGTTGTTTTTTGTTCTAGGAGCTGAACGTTTTTTTATATATATAAAATGTGTGTATTATTTCCCCACTTCGTATGCAACTTGCAAAAGCACACCTCAACATTACATGTATAGCTTCCTTTTTGGTAAAAAACAGTATGTCAACATTTCCCATTTTCGTGCTTGCAATATGTGGCCTTTACTCGTTGCTCGTCTTTCTATGTTTCTATATATATGTGTGTGTGTATATATATATATATATTTGTTTGTGTTGTTCCGTTTGTTCTTCCTTGTAACTCATTTTGTGGGGAAAGAGGAATCATATACATTGTTGTTGAAAGTATTCCTTCTTTGTAAACATTATCTTTGTATGTCTGATTTTTGTGTCGAAAGATTTTCCGAATTTTAAAGGACATCGAACCTTCCAATCATCAACTTTTCAAATCTTCAAACCTTTGAATCTTCATATAGTCAACTATTCAAACCTTCGAGTTACCAGCTCTTCAAGTCTTCAAGTAGAAGGATGTGTGAATATGCTACTACACATGAAGAAGCACGCTACATGATATAGGATGTCGGATGTTGTGCGAGCGATGTGGTTCGAGAGAAAGCAGAGAGAGAGGATAGGCAAGACACAGGAGAAGGGGAGAACAAGGAAAGGAGGGGTAATAGAAGGGGAGTAGAAAAGGCGAGACAAAAACACAACAACAACAACACAAGCAAGAACAACTTCACGGAAGACACGAAAAGAGGAGGTCAAAACTCGGAGTACTGTTCCCTCCCCGAGGAGCGGTCCGTCCGAAGGCCCAGGTCGACCACGAGGGAGGCCACGGGCAAGGGGCCAGAGGGCGCGAGGGCCTCGGGTGGCCTGCTCCGCGCCGCCGGCCTCCGGGCACCTCGGACCAGCCAGCCCTGGCCAGGAGGAGCAGGAGGACGACCACGACGACGACGACGACGAGGAGGATGAGGAGGACGACGACGGTCGCACGGAGGAGGGGACGCCGGGAAGCAGGCCGAAAGCGTGAGAGCAAAGGTCTGGCATGCCGAGGGCAGGCGTGCCAGGACGTGCCCGATGTGAGAGCAGGCCGAAAGTGCAGGAGCATGCGTGCAAGTGTAAGGAGGCGCAGCAGGAAGAGGAGGAGGAGGAGGAGGAGGAGGAGGAGGAAGAGGAGGAGGAGGAAGAGGAGGAGGAGGAGGAGGAGGAGGAAAAAGAGGAGGAAGAGGAGGACCTCCTGCAGCCTCTGCGGGGCGCCAGAGGCGCCGGCAGGCGCCGCCAGGTGTCCGGCGCCGGCCCAAGACATCCACGCCGACGTCCGAACAATTGCATATGCTTCGGCGTTGTGACGTTTTCTGCTAACTGTGCGAAGGCTGGCAGTGCCGAGCCTGCCTCCCTCGGAGTTTCGAAAGCCCCGCGGTTGCCCAATTCGCGAGAGTAGGCGCCTTGGAGTCGACCGGGCCCGACGACCACAAAGCCTGTCGACGGTTGCACTCGCAGGTGGACCGTTGCGGCCCGTGTGCGGCCAACGGCCGAGGCCATTCCGCGTCTGTTCAGTCGGGAACTTTCGCTTGGTGTGTTTCGACGGCGGTCCCGGCGATATCTTGCAAGATCGCGTTTTATTATGTTCTGCGATGACGGGCGTCATGGGGAGGGCGGGGGGGGTATGACGTAACGCCCCCCCCCCCGCCGCGTAGCTCTGGCACCACAGTCGCGCCCGCGCGCACGACGCGACGAGCGACAAGCGACAAGCGACAAGCGACGACGACGACGACGACGACGCGAGCGACACGCCATCCACTTGAAGCGGAGAGCGTGTCGCTCCGCTTCGTGGGGTGGGAGGCTGGAAAAGCTCGGCACGTGGACGCCTGGGGACCGCGAGATGGATAGCGCGTCGCGCCGAGGCGTGGTGGGCCAGAACCGGTGGAACGATACGCTAAACAAAATTTCCCGGCCCCAAGAGATCGCGACGGCAGGCCTTGGGCAATTTTCGGCCTCACGGGGCCCTCACATGTCCCCGTGACCGCTCCCAGGGGTCCACGTCGTGGAAAAGCGGCGTCGGAGGTCTGTGGAGAGGCTTGGCCGAGGCCTGCATCGGAACTCCCATTGGCCCCGTGAGACCAGGACCTAGCTGCCTCGTGTGTGATCTGGGAATCTGGCACCTGGATCTCCTGGCGCTGGAGGGACACAACTGCCACGGATTGGCCATATTCTAACCGGAGAAGAAGATCCTTCAATCCATCTTCCCCGACGCCCTCCCCGTCACCCGGCTGTTCCTCCTCTACCCCCCCTCCTCCTCCTCCTCCTCCTCCTCCTCCTCCTCCTCCTCCTCTTCCTGCTAATCTCCCTCGGTTGTGATCATCACGACCACCGTCGTCTCTATCAACCTTCCCCTGGCTTTCCTCTAGTATTGTCACCTATCGGTTTACGGCAAGTTCGTGTCGTGACGACGTCGGCCTTGGACTCTGACACCACGTGGATCGCTCAACTATGAGCGAACGCGGCAAGGCGTGGACCACTCGATGTCGGGTTCAGCGAACCGGTTGCGCTGATCATTGAACGCCTGCGCTGGAGTCCCACCGCGTCGACACGGCACAAGCCCACAGCGTCCTCTCTCGAGTTGGACGAAAGGAGAGGTCCCACTTGGGCTTTCGGTTGAGGTCCCACCAGGGCCACGAAACGCTGTTCTGGGTGTGGCGGGCGCAGCGGGCACCCCCACTGGGGCCTTCGGTGGGGCTCCCTATGGTGCCACGAAGCGCTGTACTGTGTGCGGCGGACGCATGCGAGCACCCCCACTTGACCTGTGGTTGAATTCCCTATGGGGCAGCGAAACGCTGTACTGGGCGTGGCGGACGCATGCGGACACCCCCACCAGGGCCTTCGGTGGAGCTCCCTATGGGGCCACGAAGTGCTGTACCGGGCGTGGCGGACGCATGTGGGCACCCCCACTGGGGCCTTCGGTGGAGCTCTTTCTGGGGCCACGAAACGTGCGAGGGGCGTGCTGAAACGGGTGATGACGATGATGGTGTAGGAGGGAGGGGGGCGGGCAATGGGAGGAGGAGACATGAACGCGGGTACTGTCGCTTCACTATTCTGGCGAAGGACCGAAACATATGCAGTTGTGAGCACCGTAATTGTGAATCTCTTCCTCGATGGAGTTCCCGACAGGGCCACGAAGCGCTGCGCTGGCTTGGGGGGTGATGCATGCGGGCGGTAGCGCTGGGGCCGTCGGTGGAGCTCCCCCCTATAGGGACACGAAACGCTGTGCTGGGTGGTGGTGGTGGTGGTGTGGGGGGGGGGGGGGGGGCGCATGCGGGCGGTGGCACAGTGGTTGGCCGTCGGTGGAGCTCCCTAGACACGACGTGCTGTACTGGGTGGGGTGGGGGGGGGGGCGCATGATGCGGGCGGCAGCACTGGGACGTTCGGTGGAGATCCCTACGGGGCCACGGTGGGGGGGGGGGGCGCATGCGGGCGGCAACGTTGGAATCTTCGGTGGAGCTCCCGACAGGGCCACGAAACGCTGTACTGGGTGGGGGTGACGCATGCGGGCGGTAGCGCTGGGGCCGTCGGTGGAGCTCCCTATAGGGGCACGAAACGCTGTGCTGGGTGGGCTTGGGGAGGGTTTTCCCCCCCCCTTCCCCCCTGGCGTTTTTTTTTGTTTCCCCCTGGAGTGTGTCCGCTTTTATTTTTTCCCCCGGCGTTTTTTTCCCCCCCCCCCCTGGCCCCCCCCCTTCCAGAGGGGCGCCACGCCTTTTTTCCCCCAGCCCGAGGCGGCCTCCCCTCCCTTCCAGGGGGGCGCCACGCTTTCTTCTTTCCCCAACCCGGGCGGAGACGGGCGCAGATGAGGGTCCAGAACTATTGGCACGCGTCGTGCGATTGCACCGTAATGCGATTGCAATGCAACGCAGTGCGATTGCAATGCACATTGCATTACACTTGCAATGCAATTGCAGTGCAAAGCGCTTGCAATGCAACGCGATTGCAACGCAAAACGATTGCAACGCAACGCGATTGCAATTCAACGCGATCGCAATGTAACGCGAGCGTGCCGAAAAAGCTTCTTCGATCGCCGCCCAGCGGTGCCGCATTGACAACGAACACTCGGGCTAACGACAACGGCGAGACCAAATGGGTCGGCGGGATGAGCGAAGCGATGAATAACTGCACAGTCCGGAGTTGTCAGAGTCCAAACATCTATCTCTTGAAGAAGAGCGCTCTCCGCAAGCGCGATCGGACAGAGCCTCGGACTTTAGCTGGACCCTAAAAGGCCATGCGGAACGAGGGAGCGGGGGAGGACGAGGAAGAGGAGCCCAGCGCCGCGGACGAGGGGCTCCGCCGCAGGCATGCATAACCAAACCCACAAGCCCTCGGGGCGTGAGTGGTTCAGGGGGCTCGTTCTGCTCACCCCCTTCTTCCCCTTCGGGGAAGGGTTTACCCCTCCCCCTGCCCCCCCCCGGGCCTGGATGGGGGGGGCCGCGGGTCGTCTGGGCGCCGAAGATGGCCCAAGATAGCGCCGAGGACACCCGAGAGAGTTCAGTATGGCCTCCGAGATCGATCAAGAGAGCCCTCGGTAGCTCCTAACATGCCTCCAACACTCTCCAAGTCACCTTTTTTAAGACCCCTTTTCAAACGGCCCGAAGAAGCCACGGAGTCTCCCAACGACGCCCCCGAGAGGCCAAAATCGTTCCACGACTAAGCGCACAAAAATGTTGTTTGTCTTCTCGCCTTTTCGCTTTCAATGAGGTCCTGCGGCCTCAAGATGACCCCGAGATGGCCCAAGAGAGCCCCGCGACGGGCGCCTCGCAATGCGATTGCAATGTGATGCGAACCTCCCAAAGAAACTTTTTCGAACGCCGCCCAGCGGCGCCGCGTTGACAACGAACACTCGGGCGAACGACAACGGCGAGACCGCATGGGCTGGCGGAGTGAGCGAAGCGATGAATAACGGCACAGTCCGGAATTGACCAAGATGAGGATCATCAGGGATTTAACGAGGCCTGCTATTAGAGTCAGGCTCCCCGAATTCACCGGGAGCACAAGCTGGTTGAACGGAACGTGGACTTTGGGCGTTCGCAGTAGCCGCAGCGCCACCAGGCGTCGCGAGGCCGCCTTGCCGAAACGAAATATTCCAGAGCTGCTGATGGTGAGTCTTTCTATCTTTTGAACCACGATGGACTACAGACGGAGCTCTGGATCACCTCTGGTCTTCCTCGGTTCCTGAACTCCACTTCTAAATCAAACCCGAAACTCACTTAAGTTCCAAGGAATCTCCGAAACACGGCGTTAGCCCTAGACATCCGAACACCCCTCCTCGGCCTTCGTCGCCGCGGCTGGGCGGAGGCGGAGGGCGAAAGCCCAAAACGAAACCGGCGCCTCGATCATTTTCACGAGACGTGCGCCGGCAAACAGCCGGCGTCATACATCACAGCACGCGGTGCCTCGCGCTACCGTCGAACTTCAGCGTGAAGCAGATCAGCTTCATCAACCGCTCCATCGTGTCTTGGTCGAAGGCCTTCGTGAACAGGTCCGCCGGGGCCCAGTGCCCATCGACCGTCTTCAGCAACAGCCTTTTACTCTGAATACGTTCCTGCAGCCACAGAAATCGAACATCCAAGTGTCGAACAGCTCCCAGTCCCTGTCGGCTGGCAAGTCCTCTCGCGGCTGAGCTATCGCTGAAGATGTAAAGCTCCATGTCGTAGTCAACCTCGACTCCGAGGACGGCCGAGGTGGCCTGTACTCCAAAACCGTGGCAGACTCCACGCAGTAGTGCATATAGACCTCGGCCCCACCGCTGCTCAAACTCACCGTGGATTGGACCACGCTGCCATGTTTCAGCAGATGCGTTCCCCATAGAATGGCCATTCCACTTCGGGGGCACCTCGCAATCGGATCACCCGCGCAGTCGCTGTCGCAGTAAACGCAAATCTTGCTAGGCAGCCTCTGAGCGGGAAACAGCAACCTTCCAGCGGGGCACTTCTTCAGGTTGCGGCCGATGCGCTTCAAATCCTCCATGTGGGTTTCCTTCGGCTCCTTCGTGCGTCTAGCCTGCGTGCTCGCGCTGTAGCTGATGTCGGGCCGGTCCAGGCTCAGGCACATGATCCGAATTGCCACGCTGCGGTAGGTCTTCGCCTTCTCGTCGTCCAGCTTCGGCGAGGTCTGGTTACTACTCAGGATCTCCGCGACAGACCCTTGACAGCCGGGGCAGTCACCTCCTTCGCGTTTTCCATGCCCAAGTCCCTGATCACCTTCTTCACGCGCCTGGTGTCCGCTTCGAGGTAGGCCGAGCGCTCGGAGGGGCTCCAGATCAGCGCCCGGTTGAGATAGACCACGCTCTGCTCCTGCAGGGGCCTGCTGCTCAGAATACCCGTGGCCTTAGAGTCGTAGCGCGAAAGCGCGTCGTCGAACCACCCCTCCTGGGACTTGCGCACAATCACGCCAAAGTCGTCGCCGTGGACCTCCGCTTGCATATGACGCTCGGCGTGGCACAGCAGCGCTGGGTTCGAGACGCCCTTCTAGAAGCCGTGCGAGCTTGTCGGGCCGATGTAGTCGTCTTGCCACACATGACTTGCATCCACTGCGCCACGCATTGTCTTGAGTAGCCTGCCCACCATGGGCTCCGGATCGTCGTAGGTCTCCTCCTCGGGTAACTCCACATACACCTCGCGATTCGCATCTCCATAGAAGTGCGCCCTCGAGATGTCGTAAAACTTGTAAATGATATCCTCTGTGTCGCCGTCGTGGTAGGCGTCGTTCACGCGGCCAACGAAGATGGTCACCATCGCCATGAACGCTTCCAGCGGGGGCATGGCCGAGAATAGTTCAGCTTGATCTGGTCGATCTTCGGACCTCATAGCTTTCTTAATCTCCCTCGCGACCAGCCTCGAGCAATACCGTGGTTGAGTTCGGTCGCCCTTGTTCGTGTCGATCCACTTCAGGGTCGCTGTCTTCTTGCCGTTCTCGAGCATCTCGCGTCTACTTACCTTTTTCCATACCTGCCTCCCGCGGCACCAATCCAGTTCTTCTTGCCTCGCGGCTCGCACGCCCTCGGAGTCCAGAATCTCGCCCGTGAGATCGTCGATGAAGTAATCTTGGTACTCAGCGAACACGTCAGTATCTTCTTCATGTGGGTGTGGTCCTCCACAAGAGCTGCAAGTAGGTTAAGCCCTTCACGTCGTCGAAGCTCCTCTCGTAGGCCTTTGAGAATAGCTGCCGCCAAGCTCGGAGGGTATCGTTGTGCATGTTTGGCGCGTCCGTCAACCAAATGAACATGGCGAGCGAGTTCTCCGTTCAGACCCCTGGGGCACCGGCAGTAGCCTTTGAGGATCTCGGCGAGCAGCTCGCCGTTAGTGAGCCACCCGGTCTCCTTCCGAACGAAGCCCAACTTTCCGTTGGAGTCGATCGCCTGCGTGCGCCAGCAGCACATAGGTCCATGAGGACTAAGAATACGCCTGCCAACTGCATGACCTCCTGAACGCTTGGGCGGACCAGCTGCTCGCTGACCAGGGTGCTTCGTGAAGACATTGCTCCCCTGCATTGTGGCGCTCCTTGCAGATCTCCATGCTGAAGTTGAGGTGCGTCTCGCCTTCCAGGATCTCCGCCTCCGCGATCTTCGGGTCTCGCTTTGAGTCCGAGAGCGCACGCAAGCTGCTGACTGGCGTGCGCGGGGGGCTGGTGATCGTCAGCAGCGGGTCTTCGTCCTTCAGCTGCTTCTTGCACTCCTTTCGTTGCTCGGGCAACAGCAGATCCCAACCAGCGTCGATATCCACTGCCAGGCCGCGCGTGAGACCATACCTGAACGTCATCTCTGCAAACCTTCTCGGCGAATGAACCTCCGCAGTGTCCACTGCGCACATCTCGGTAAGAAGTGGCGCGATCTCCCCCGCCTGCTCTGCGTCGTTCACGTTGGCGTTCGCCCGCATCTCGAACGCCACCAGCTCGTAAATCATGACAAACGTGTGGCCTTTGTCGTGGCCGTTGATCCGCTCCAGGAAGTCGACGTCCATCGATCCATCTGGAGCCCGGCTCGGTCTCGAAGCCGATGCCGATGCTGAACTTGACGACGCTGCCTGGGGCATCGCTGTGTCGACCAGGCCCCCCAGGTTCATCTGCGCCTCGTCCTGGGGCGCCGCTCGCTTGAGCGCGAGCCGGGCTTCAGCAGTTGCAGGTGCTGAGCTTCCTCTCACATCGCCTCGTGCCCGGGTAGCTCGTCCAAGGTCGGGCGCGTCTCCTCGGCGCTTCCTGGCAGCGCTCGGTTCGCTTCCACCGCCTCCGGCCGGCACCGCCGCCATCTCGGTGTCCCTCGGCTCTGGGGCAGGAGCTCGATCGCCGTCTCCAGCGGGCGGCGGCAGGGCAGGTTGGTCTCCTCCAGCTGCTTCCTGACCTCGAACACCTCGACCGCGTGCTGCTTGATCCCCGGCTCGAAAATGGTGTTCGGTAACTCGTGCTCGATCTTCGTCGTTACCCATCATCAGCTCTGCGATCCTGTCGCGGCACTCGTCGCTGTGGAATTCGTGATCTTGCCCTTCTGCGTCAGCTCCAAGCATCCCGGGCAGCCCGCAGTGGCACCGCGCTTCTCGATGTCGCGGCGCAGGACGTACCTCGCTCGCGGGGCTCGTGGCTCCATCCGAACGGTAGCCACCGCCGTCGCTCTCGCCAGAGCGGGCGCCTCCTTCTCCGGGCGAGTCGCCCAGGGAACTCCTCGAAGAGCTGCCCAGTCCTTGCCGTCCCAGGCCTGCTCCTTCGGTAATTTCTTGAAGCCTTGGGCCTTCTCCGCACTGTCAACCGTCATGACGAGCAGGGCCCCCGTCCGCATGTGGTAGCCCAGGAAGCTCCCGGACTTCACGCGCTCCTCCATTGTACTCCTGCGACCTCCTGGCGCGAGCGGCCTGTGCATCAGCCGCTCGCCGAACTCTGCTCCCAGCTTCTTGCATTCGCGGCCTGAGCGCCGCTGTTCTCCAGTGAGGCCGTCGGTTCCGCGTCGGCGCTGGCCAATGCAGGCCGCGGCGTACTGGGGTAGCCCTTTCAAGATCGGGTGGTCATCATCCACCTTCCTGCCGAGCTTGGCCTCCAGCGCGTACCTGTTCGCCCTGACCTGCCTTTTGACCTCTCGCACGGTAACCTCGATGCCTCCGTTGCTCTGGTGCTCTCCTGCTGGCGGTTCTCGAGGCAGGAACTCCACCGTCGGCGTCGCCACCGCGACCGCCGTCTTGAGCGCCGCGATCGCGGGCTCCCCGTCGCTCTGGAAGACCAGCCTGCGGTGGCCGAGGTACAGGGTGAAGCTCATCAGAATCTTGATCATGAAAGTGGTGACCTTCTTGCCCGGGATCGCTGTCGAGTAGGGCAGCTTCGTCTTGGAATCTCTGGCCACCAGCATCGGGAAGTTGTCCTCCTGGCCCTCGTCCTCCCCGCCGGTCTTCTCGCCCATGAACGCAAAGTCGATGGCCACAGCTGGATTTGCACCTTCACGAGCTTCAGCTTGTCGTTCATGAGGTTGGCCAAGCCCTCGAGCTGCACAACAAACTTCGCACCAATCTCGAAATGCGGTGACCTGTAGCCTCGCGTTGATCAGCTTCAGATCGAGTAGGTAGTCGCTTTCGTCCCTGCGCTTTCGCTGGCGCAACCTCCTGAGGATTACCGTCATAATCTTCGCCGTCTCCGATCCCTTCTCGTACTTCAGCTGGCTGGGGAGCGGGATCTCTACTCCCTAGCGCTGCCGCTGATGGTCTTACAAGCGGCCCCGCTGCCGGCGACTCCGGCGGCTCCGAGGCGCTCGCGCCCCCCACGGGACCGCTGCCTGCCACTGAGGGCCCGCGCTCGCCGGTGCCCGCGGACAGAGATCGGCAACAGAAGCCGACTCCGACGAAGTGGCACCCGCAGGTTGGTCCATCAGCACGTCCATCTTGTAGACTCCGTTCTGCAAGTGCAGCGGCGCGATGCCCTCGTTGCCCTCGGCCACACACTGGTCGATCATCTGGCGGATCTTCTGCGCGAGCTCGCTCTCCCTCAGGATGTAGCCGCTGAAGGCTCCGACCCGCGTGAAGTGGCCCTTGGCGGCAGTGGCCGAGGCGGACAGGAGCGGCTTGCCGATGCTCGCGCGCCTGCCCTTCAGGAACATACTCTCGCCGTACTCCGACACTCCTTTGATGCCGCCGCCGCCCTCGTCCTGTACGATCTCGCCGGTGGCTGTGCGGTATGAGCCGCCGTCGGCCTCGGTGTGCTCGCCCTCCTGCTCGAGCTGGAAGGCCGCGGCAGCGGCGCCGGTGTCGAACGTCATCGCGATGCACTTCCTGTACTGGTTCTAGTCCTTCACCTCCGCGCTGTTCAGCTCCAGCACGCGCTCTAAGGCGTCGAAGCTGAGCGCGGCGGGCGACTGGTTGCATACGCCGGCCTGCGAGGCCGACGCCGGCAGCTGCGTGCTGATCGTGCCCTGCGTGTCGCCCTCGTAATTGTTGAGGTAGCCTCGGCGAACGCCTTGCTGTTGAAAACGCTGGCCCTTCGGGTCCTTGCCGCATCCTTTGCCCTTGCCTTCCTTCTCGGTTGGGCCTCCGGCAGTCCTGTGCACGACGGCCCTTCCTTCGGCAGTTCCAGCAGGTCACGTTCGCGTTGGCCGTCTTCCATTTTTCGATGCCGGTCTTGCCCTTGTCATATTTGCCCTTGCCCTTGCCGCGCTTGCCCTTGCCGTCGCCTCTCCTGGCGAACGCGTCGGCCTCCATCGGATCGCCTCTCGACCGGCCAAGGGCTCCTTGAGCCTGTCTGGTCTCCAGGAAGCCCCTGACCTCCACGCGCATCGCAGTGTAGTCC